CAACTACCATTAAAAACATTATAAATAAGAAGGGGAAACTTGTTTTGCTGAACCTACAAATGATGCATAGCATTATGTACTAGATCTCGGGATGAAGACACTGGGGAAGCCAGCATTATGGTTTTGGGTCACCACTTAGCATCTGATCTGGACTGGTAGTGACTGCATTTTGCTACGATGAAATGACCAGGCACTGACACAAGAGAAACTGCCTCATGGCTTCACTTTGTTTTTCAGTTGCTACAGTTCTGCAGGAGAAAAACTACCATCCTGGTTTCTGGGAGCAGTCATTGTGTACTGGGAAAAGAGGTAAAAAACTGGAAAACTAGCCCACGCTCTCACCATACACTCGTGTAACCGTGGGGTTACAGTAGACAAGGAGGGAAGGAATAAGACAATCTGCTGCTGCCGCTCACAGTGGACTAAGGACTCAGTTTTTCAAGTTACAAATCCAGCATCAAACACAGAGTTCTTCCTGCCTTCCTTATACAGGCACAAGGTTAAAAATAGATGCTGTGGAGGTCAACAGAGTTTCTCCACATTCACACTAGTGTAACAGAGGGTACCTACAAGCAACTAATTGCTTGTTACATTATGGAGAGTTTTTTTAATCTTGCTACCTACTGCTGCATCCGTTGCAAGCAGCCAGGTTTTTCACCCCTTTATGGATGAGCTTTATAGGAAAAACATTCAGACTATGAAGAGACCGAATAATCTCAGGGAGCAGTCCTGGACAACACAACAGCTGGAAAGCGTTCGCTGCTGCTGGCTGTGGACCATATGCTAAGCAGGGTGTATGTACACAAACATAATTCCCTCCTCACATTAGCAGCTGAAAAGAAATCCAGTTATATAGAAATGAATCAAGCCTTCACACATCTGCATGAAATCCACAATATTCATGTGCCCAGATGACATGCGAGGGGAATTATTTGTATAAAGGCAAAAATATCTGATATAGCATAAATGTGCAGAACGTGGAATTTTGATCCCATTCTCACTCATTGCAACTTACTTTTTGATCAAGGTGTTCTGTAACGATAACACAGGGAGATCTAACACGTTTGTGTTTGGTCTGCATTACCTATTAAGAAGCTTTCAAGACTATTATAGTGATAGTGGTGTGCCCGTGTGAGCAAGCACAACAGCTATTATGTTCTCTGGAATAGCTTGTACCTAGCCTTTTACATTAGAGCAATTTTCTGTGAGGCAGAGAAAATGCTGCCCAGGACATCAACAGTGTCTATAGGCCTTGTGAAGAAAAAGCTCCATGGAATGAGCTGCTAAATAAAACAGCCTCTGTTTTTGTTTAACAAACGGTAAACTGAAAAATACATTCAGTGATACAGCAATATTGCCAGGTAGGAAGCTGTGTCTGCAGCACTAGAGTAAATACCGCAGGCTTTCGTAGCCTTTCTTCTCCATCTGTCTGAGTGTTCCTTTGAAAAGTGCATGTTTTGAAAAAAGAGGTTTAGCATAAAATGGCTGTGGATTAATTGTCTCCGCAGATCTCCATCAGATGTTGCAGTGCACTTTTGTTTAGCGAACCTGCTCTTTGCCAGCCAGCATCTTCCCCTGACAGCCCAACAGTATTTTAACGTGTTGGGTGCCACTCTGCTAGTGCAGGTAATCTATAGCCCCAGTCAGTATGAGCACCTGATAATTATTGACACAGAATATACCAAATTAAAATAATAATGGGCATTTGTGTATATGAGAGAAAGGGGAAAACAGAGCCAAAGAGGAGAAAAACACAGGTGTCTGATGTATGGGGAGAGAGCAAGAAGGAAAACTATTTTCTGAGGTTTCTTGGAATAAAGAACAAACAGCAGCAGCAGCCATATCCCAGCTGAGAACAAATGAGGAATTAACAGCAATTATATATAGACCCACAGCACATTTTTCACTTGTTACTCTGGATAAAATCAAACCTCAAAGCAAAACATTCTGGTGCTGACTAGCAAACCTGACAATGGATATGGTAAGCCAGGTCTGGCATGGCTATGTTTTGAACTCACCAAGTAGGATTCAGCTCACAGACTAACATGGCTAATTTTAGATGTCTACGTGTGCACTAGGTATTTCAGCTCCCAGTGTTGTCAGCGGAGATCTAATCAGTTCAGTTAGGGAGGCTAGAGAGACATTCAGCTCACTGTAAAATAGATAACTACCAACGTGGTTGTCTGAACTCTGCTGACTGCAGTGACCAGGCACTGGACTCCATTGCCTAGAGAAAAGCACCTTGTGTCATTTGAGCTGCTCTTAAGTCTTCCACCTCCAGCTGCTATCCTGGATGACAGAGGTCTTCCACAGATCCCCTGTAACATCTGCCAGCCTCAGGCAGATCTCTTCGATACCCCAGGGCACTTAAAACAGCAATAGGCACCTAACTTCAGGCAATTTAATTCCACTCTGGATCTCTGCTGATTTTAACAGAGCTTAGACACATGTAGGCACCTCCATGTAGGTGCCAATGTGCAGGTTTCTTAAACTGTGAGCTAATCCCTAATGTAAGCCAGTTGCTTCATTTCTATTGTGTTTGTCCTACCTAAAGGCCAATAGGCCAGCATAGCACTTTGCAGAACTAGTGAAATGATATATCATGCCTCAAGCAACTGACAACATGAGTTAGACCAGGACAGTATGGGATGACCAGGACAGTGGCAGACAATAAGAGTATAAAGGATTTATGATTAATGTTTGTATGTGGTTGCAAACTTAGACCAAAAAAAAAAAAGTGGACAAATGAGTGAACAAATGAAAACGAGAGCAATGTTAATCAGCAAGAGAATTTCTAATTCATTTATGTGTATTTTTTGTAAAAGGAAGGACAGAGCCTCACTTCATATCAAAAGAAGTCTACAGGCCCCTGGAGCTTCTCTGAAATCACTAGGTTCCTACTTATGGACCTGAATTCAGGTGAAGAGTTGGCTTATTTAAGCCATTAGATCCAGTGGTCCAACTCTGGATACAGATTTCACACAGAATCACACAGAATCGTTTAGGTTGGAAGGGACCTCTGGAGATCATCTAGTCCAACCTCCCTGCTCAAGCAGGGTCACCTAGAGCATATTGCCCAGGATCACATCCAGACGGGTTTTGAATATCTCCAGCGAAGGAGACTCCACCACCTCTCTGGGCAACCTGTTCCAATGCTCTGTCACCCTCACAGGGAAGAAGTTTTTTCTCAGGTTCAGGTGGAACTGCCTGTGGTTCAGTTTCTGCCCATTGCCTCTTGTCCTGTCGCTGGGCACCACGGAGAAGAGGCTGGCCTCATCCTCTTGACACTCCCCCTTCGGATACTTGTACACGTTGATGAGATCCCCTCTCAATCTTCTCTTCTCCAGGCTGAACAGGCCCAGCTCTTGCAATCTTTCTTCATAGGAGAGATGCTCCAGCCCTCTCATCATCTTGGTAGCCCTCCGCTGGACTCTCTCCATATGCATAAATGTTTGGCTCCAGATTTTTTGTTCAAGCCCACGTGTATTTTTACTGTGCCTCTGAAGTCAATTGTACCATATGCACCCCAGGAGAACACAGCCATTCAACACAGTATATTTGGCACTGGAATTGGAAGCAGGAATATGAGGCAATAAAGTAGATTCCTAGTTGCATTCAGGTCCAGATTCATGCCATCTGCCTGAGGCACCCAGCAAATTCAGCCACCTAGAATTTGAATTGCCTTCAGCAGAGCCCTCTGCCTCTCCACTGATTGTAGAGGGAGCCTAGGTAGACTACAGGCCTCACTTAGGCACTCAGAGAAATATTTAGAGGCCTCACTTTCTTCCTAGCAGAAGAGGGGCAAGAAGAGGGAGCAGACTTCACTTGTAGTAGCTTGTGGCTCGCTGTATATGGAGCCCTTACCAGCTGGTAACCCATGGAGTTGACGAAGCATATTAGTGCAACAGCCACATCCACCATGACCCCGTGTCTGTAGCTTTGAGGGTGAATAATGGCAGATGCTCATAATTTACCTGGGGTGAAACCCTAATTTGGGCAGCTCTTTTATACCCCAATCCCATTGCCCCGCCACACTGAGACAGAATCTTGCAGACAGAAAGGTAAATAATACAAAAATATATATAAAACAAGTGTCCTCGTCCTCTCACTCTTACGCTGCTGCTAGGTATATTCCATGTTTCTACAAATCCACCTTCAGATTTTTCAAGCATTTTACAGCACTTTAATTGTAAGACTCCCATTAAAAGTAATTCCATTAGAGCCTTACATATCACATATGGAAGACAGAGGTTAATAACCAACAAGGCATTTTTGTTGCTGCTTAGAGTTCTGTAAATAGGAAAATGTAAATGTACTTTCATGCAAATGTAACCTTTCTATGTGTAAGAGCTGAATGAAAAAAGTGTCAGCATCAGTTGGTTTTATAATAAATTGTATGGCATCTAGAAGTTGTGTAGATGGAAAGCTGAAGGGGTTTGTTCCAAAATCCGTTCAAAATACAAAAAAAAAAATACAAAAATCCGTTCCTGTTCTTCATCGTGTAGGTTCCCAATAAATGCTGCTAGGCTTCATAGTCTTGTTGTAGAAACGTTTTCAGGGAGCACATTTCAGGGAAACGTTTTCAGAGAAGAGTAAGTATCAAACCTCACAAAGATAGTAACATTTCATCTCTTCCACTCAGAGAAAAAAAAGATTGAAAATTAGTACCTTCTTAATGTCATTTAGAAAGCTTAAACCATAGCCTATATTCCATGAAAAATCTTCCATTATTTTCAAAGATCTCTGGATTTGGTACCAAGAAGATAAACAAGCCCAATCTAGTAGATGGCAATTGAAATTCAATAGGATTAAAGTCATTGTGATTTTTCATTGCAACTTTACAGAATTGTTACAGTGCTTCACGCACAACAGATACAGATCAGGGATCCTACTCTGAAAATCTTACTGTCGGCGGGCAAGTGAGCAGAGTCCCCTGTATTTTTCACAGGCAAGTAAGAGAGCAGCTGTGAATAGTCTGGCTGCAGGTGGGAGGAGGAAGAAGAGGTGGTTAGGCACATGACGTTTGGTAAACTTGCAGCCACAGGGAGAGAAACATCGAAAAAGAGAGAAAGAAGGGAGCAGAAGAAAATCAAAGGAAATCTTCCTGCATATGGGGAGATCAGCCAGTCATTTGAGTAGGTAAGTCCTATGTGTTTCTTATGCAGTACTTACCTTACAGAAAATGTTTATGCATATTCACTTTAAAGCTTTAGCTTGCTTGGTGTCCTTTCACAGGGTATGAGAAGAGAAGAAGTTTGAGAGACAACCAGAGTAACTCAATTTTAAGTCTGAATTTGAGCGGCAGCTGGACATCCAGAATAATACAGCAGAGCAACAGCGATGGGAACCTGAACAGAAGATGGAAGGTCAGCAATATGTGATGAAATGCCAGCTACATATAAGGTGCCTCACGATTTTAAGACCAACAGTCTGATACAAATTTCACCAGCTAACTTCCACAGTGAGCAATTACTCAACAAAGGTACAGAATTCAATTTATGTAGCCATAGAAAGGTTATCGCAAGTTACCAAAATAGAGATAGTGACAAAGTTGTGTGGGCAAATTACATCATATACGGTTAGCTTGAATGTAGAAAAGAATGGACTAAAGAGGTGGACTAGAGGGGATTGACAGAAAGTGTAAATAAACAGTAAAAATAATTGAGCAGGCTCTTAATCATAATCTATTATAGCAGGGATAGTCAATAAGAGAAAGCTGCTAGCATTAGTACTTTTGTACTTTGGAAGGAAAATACCCTTCCAAGTAAATACAGAAGTACATAATGAATAGCAATTGATTTTATTTACTAGGGAGCCCTAAAGAGATAATGCATTGCTTTTCAAATTACATGCTTATACAGACATTGCTTTGCCAGAAAAGGCCAGGGGTTCATCTGCTCCAGCATCCTGCTTCTGGCATCAGGAGGAGTCAAAAGCATGCCATGTAATGCACCTGGACAACTCCGCAAAGCTGTATCATAGGGAGAAAAACTCCATCCCAGCCCCAGCTGGCAGATGGTTTTGCCTTCAAGCAGGAGTCCAATTCAATTTCTCTAGCATTCTTTATTCCACTTGATGTCTTATATTTTCTGTCTAGACTGGAATCTTTTCAAATATCTCTTCACATTTAATTTCTGTGCCAGTCTGGGATGGGTTTGAGTTTGTCCCTGGGAAAAAGCAGGACAAGAAAGATGGATTTCAGGCGCCCAGTGTAGAAGTGGGTATGCTCACAGAAGTCTTTGTAACCAAGACACGGTTCAGTGCAGCCATTTACCAAAAATGACAGAGTAGGTGCGCTTTGTGACTCAAAATGTGCAACATAAATTTGACTGGGGTACATGGTAACCCTTCGTTCATGGCCAGGTACTCTCTGGTCTAGAGATCCTTGTGTTTTAAGGGATCCAGTCCAAGAGTTCTGATCAGCTGAAAGTCCCTAACCTTTTAAAATCCCTCAAAATGTTTGTTTACAGTCACATATTTTTCCCACCAAGAAAAAAATAAAGATAAAGGCAAAAACCAGGGATCTCCTGCCAGCCATTTCTGCTCCTTCTGCTGACCGTTTCATGGGCTCTTGGCCCCAGTCTGCACAATGTCACAACACTCTCAGTCTGCAAAGTTGCACCTTACTCTGAACCAACTATCTAACGGTGGTAAGTCTTGGTGGCCAAGGACATCGCATCTGCACACACCACCTCTATGTGCCACATGGAGGACAGAGCTGTTGTGTCTCTTGACCCCAGTTTGCCATAGCCTCAGGACTGCTCTTCCCTTTGCTGTGAGGTAGCCTCTGCACAAGCGATTGTTCAAGCAGCCAAAAATTCAGAGGAGGCTTCCAGCCCTGCTACCCATGGCAGAGGCAATAATATGGAAAGGCACACGGCAGCCCTGAGTCATATAGGGAGAGCCTCAGTTCAGGAGACACTGACCCAGGCCTGGAGGATGCATCCTCACATGCTTGACATATTTTTCCATTTTCCAGGATGGCCATGCACCTGTGTGGGTCTCTGACTGTCACCCTTAGCTCTGCCACCTGCCTCCGATAGTCTTAAAAACACTTCAGCCTTCTCAGATAGAAAAGGGGCTAGGGATATTCCTCTCTCCTTGAAAAGTGCTATGGGATATTTCATCTGTAATGGCAAAGAGCTAATATGAATTTTAATAACCCTTTTTATTGCAGAGTGGTTTTATGGAGGATGGTTTCCTGCTTTCCAGCAAGCTGATTATTGCTTATATTCTCTTTGACATGGTTTATGGCTAACCATGTGAAATATAAATTCATTTGTTTACTAGCCTTTTTTCTCAGTTGATGTGCTGACCCATTCAGTCCCTATTCAGCATTTGGTGGCATGGAGTATTGCCATTTGGTAGCATCCTGGTGGCATGGAGCGTTGCCGTTCCCCACCCTACAGCGGTGTCCTGGCGCTGTGGGGGCCGGCAGCGTCCAGGGCCGGTACCAGCAGGAGCTCACTGCCAGGGCCTGTCCCACTGCCCCACGCGGCAGCAGGGCACCGAGGGCAGCCAGGGCAGCCGCAGTCCCTCTTATTTCTGCTTTGCATCAGGCAGTGCCTTTTCGAGGGTGAGTAGCTCCTGCTTTTTTACCTAGGATTGTTATTGTATGTTATTCCAAGGTTTCACAAAAAGCTGCTCAAAATATTTTTGTTTGGTTTTAGCTCCTTCTCCTGAAAGCTGCACCTGTAAGTGGTGCTTTCATTCAATGAAATGTGTCCATTCCCATGAAGTTTTTCAACAGAAAAAAGGCTGGAGATTTTGTTTAGATACAGGAAAGCACTTCACTGTGACTGTGTGTCAAAGTTTTTCCTTTCAAGTGAGTTGTTTTGATACATTTCAGTTTGATTGCTTAGTGTAATAAAACAGTGAGCTAATAATGTGTTATACAGTGCACGGCATTTAATGTTAAATAAGCTGTAGTATGTTTAATACTGAACTATAGTATTAAAGGAAAAACAAAATGAATCAAAGTGGCACCACAGAAACAAAATAATTTAATAGTCCCTGAAGTGAAATTTGGGGGATTTTTCATTTCAGGGGAAATGCTGAAGCCCAGTTCCTTGAACAAAATTCAGAACAGTAGCTCTTGTCCAGTTCGTCACAGACTGTGAGTACAGACACGAGACGATATTCCTAGTAACAGCAGCAATAGCAGTAATCACCAGTTAGGGCCTGGGAGCACTAGTCATGCATTGTGCTAGACTCTGTAGAAAACTGAACAAAAAAGCCCCAAAGAGATTGTTCCAAATATAAAAAAATATACAAGTGATAGAGACAGACAGGAAATACAAAAAATAGTTAGATAGTCTCGTTCAGCACAATGGGAGAATTATCTTCACTCACCATCATCCTAACCGTTGTCATAGCTACTCTTCATAATGCACGAGGTTTATATCTTTTTGTACCAAAGTAACCATATTGATTTCCTTTACATGGTAAGTGTTTAAGATAAAGAATTCAGAAAGGACTGAATTCATTCCCTATAAGTTATGAGACTTTCTTTCCTCTATTAGCACTGCCTGTCCTGGCACATACGTCCAGCTGCATGACACGATGGCAATATGCACAGAGCTCTCTGCACATGAGCCAGGTCCATGCCCACCTCTTGCTATTACTTACACAAAAAAAAGCAACACTTTGAACTCTTGATAGAAAGCAAGGACTAAATGGACGTAAGAATTAAAAGTCTTTGTCAGCCAGACCTATAGTCCCTTTTTATACGCTACATTGAATTTCAGCCTGATTTTGAGGTCTGACTCTTTTCTACCAATAATGTACAGCTGCTTCTTCCACTAACCCCCATAAACACACTGACTTCTGATTAGAACATTACTGATCCTTGGGAGAAAAACAGCTTTTGGAAAGAAAGGTACCACTGAAATACAGAACACTACACAGTATTTGCAAAGAGGTGGTCCCCTTGCAAAAGCTCAGTTTTCAAAGTTAATTAAATTCAAGGCAATCTAATTTCCCAAAGTCTGAAGGAGAAGAGACTTCAAGTCTCCAAAGCAAGGAATAAAAGGAAGATAATGATCTGAGTCTAGTTGGAGGCCTCGAGCTAGCAGTGTCCCCCAGGGGTCAGTACTGGGTCCAGTCTTGTTTAACTTGTTCATCGATGACC